CCAGGTCTGTAAAAGCCTGCTAATTCTGTCCAGTCATACATTTTCCCCATCATATACAGTGGGGAAAATAATTATTTGATACCCTGCAGATTTTGTAAGTTTGCCACTTACAAAGAAATTAATGGTGTATAATTTTTATCATAGGTATATTTTAAATGCTAGAGACAGATTATCAACCAAAAATCCAGAAAAAAACCCCACAATACAAATGTTTTATAAATTGAGTTGAAGTTCAGTGAGTAAAATAAGTATTTGATCCCCTACCAGCCAACAATAATTATGTCTCTAACAGACTGGCTATGTGTTTATGTGGTACACAGATTATTCCTGTCAATTTAGGAAGGTGCTACTAACGACAACTTATGTGTATAAAAGACACATGTCCACAGAATCTTTCTTCCATTCAAGCCTCACCACCAAAGAGCTGTCAAAGGATGTCAGGGACAAGATTTTAGATCTGCATAAGGCTGGAATGGGCTAAAAGACCATCAGCAAGAAGCCTAGTGAGGATACAACTGTTGGAGCGATTATTCCCAAATGGAAGAAATACAAATTAACCATCAATTGCCTTGTTCTGGAGCTCCATGCAAGATTTCGCCTCATGGGGTAAGGATGATCATGAGAAAAGTGGGGGGTATCAGCCCAGAACTACACGGGAGGAGCTTGTGAATGATACCAAGGCAGTTGGGACCACAGTCGCCAAACAAACCATTGGTAACACAATACGCCTCCATGGATGAGACCAAAATTGAGCTCTTTGGCATTAACTCGACTCGCTGTGTTTGGAGGAGGAAAAATGCTGACTGTGACCCTAAGAACACCATCCCTACTGTCAAGCAAGGAGGTGAAAACATGCTTTGGGGCTGTTTCTCTGCTAAAGGTCGAGACCGACTTTGCCACATTGAGGGGGCCCATGGACAGGGCCATGTATTGTATAAATCTTAGATGAGAACCTGAAGATTGGTCTTCCAGCATCACAAAGACCCAAAACATATTGCCAAGGCAACAAAGGAGTGGTTTAAGTAGAAGCACATTAAGGTGATGGAGTGGCCTAGCCAGTCTCCAGACCTTAATCCTATAGAAAATGTATGGAGGGAGCTGAAACTTCAAGTTTTCAGTGTCCAGAAGACAACTGAAACACATTAAACCTCTCAAGTAAAATGTGCATAACAGCCATATCGCATTTGGTGTCCATCCAATTGTGATATCTTAATTGTACAGTACAGGACACAGATTGGATGTTCTCAGTCCCTGGGTTATAGGGTGCTACCTTCATGTGGTTGGAGCCTGCAGAATGCTTTTCTAGGCACGCCCACTAGGAGTACTCCTATAACCCCCGCCACTCCGTGAGTTTTTTTACTAGCATCTTTACGTGATAGAAGTTTTCTCCCTTCATAGGGAAGTTGTTTATGCTTAACTAGTTTTCTTTACCGTACTTCACAAGACACAGAGCATCTTCATATCCATGATAATAGTGTTATGCTGCCACCTGCAGGTGACTGGATACTGATTTTAAAAAAAGGAAGGAAATCCCCTCCTAGGGAGAACACCATTAGGCAAGGCTTCTGTTTTTTTGCTAGTGTCTTAGGTAATTGTCATGTCTGTGCAAACATTAGTGAACAAACAGCATCATGAAGGCCGAGAAACACACCAGACAGGTCAGGGATAAGTTGTGGAGAAGTTTAAAGCAGCGGTAGGTTATAAAAATATATTGCAAGCTTTGAGCATCTCACGGAGCACTGCTCAATCCATCAATCTCTGCATGAAATTATAGCTAGCTTCTCAACTGTTCCATTTGGGATTAGGAGCCTGGATTTTTCTGAATTCATTACATACGGCTTTCCAATTCTTAGAGGAATGGTACCTGGACCCTGCTGTAGACACAGGGGGGATAGTCTGTAACATTGCCGATCAGCAATGAACCCTGCGGTTTAGGACCTTTTACAATGATATATGTCATTGCAGACTGGTAGGGTGCTGTACAGGTCTAGAGCAGTGATCCCCAGGTGGAGATTCATAATGCCTGAAGATCCTTAGAGGCAGTCTTGTGGGACTGCAGATCGCAGCAGAGCCTCCCTTGTGGGAATACAGGTTGCAGCAGAGCCTTCCTTGTGGGGAATACAGGTCGCAGCAAGTATTACTAGTCCACTCCACATTCATTTTCTTGTGTGGGCAGGGGGCACTGGCAGATTTAAGGGGAAATTTTGTGAGGTAACTATCACACTAGTGCTTATGAGCTCAGTCTTGACTTGGACACTCTTTCCAGTAAGGGTCCCAGATACCTTCTTCGGAAGAGAGGGGGGATGTAGGAGTAGGGGGGACCCAGATGCCTTCTTCAAGTAGAGAGGAAACTGGACACAGCCTTCCATACAATCTAACCCCTAGTTATGTTCTATGCAGCTGTGACTCCCTCTTAGAAACAGACAGAGGTACTGAAGGGTACCCCTAGAGAAAGTTTCATTAGGGACCATGCAGCTTAATAAAAAATTGGCTTTATTAGAAAAAAGTATAAAGTAACACAACAGGCTAAAAAGCTGAACAACCACCACCGGCACTTCACTAAATTAAAAAGACAACGTTGTCTAAACAACTCCCTCTGTCTGTCTTTTATCTCCACTATTTCAGGGACATGTTCCTCCGGTTCCTTTGTGACAAGGGAGGAATTCGCATCTGGTATCACTGGGGTACAGCAGCAGCTTTCCAGAATACTTGCAGGCTTAGACCACTTTGGTTGCAAGTGGAAGAGTTCCCCTCTTCCCCCTTCTTATTAACAAAGGAGGAATCAGTGGAGGGTGAGGTACAGGAAGAAAAACATGTTCCTGTAGAAAGGGATGCAGAAGAATTGTGCATTTTTTCATCAAATATGTCTGGATTATTTGACGTTACCCCTTCCCAACTCTTCACCTTAAAAGGATCTTGGTGTCCAAAACTTCATCATCAATCTTTCTTTGTACACCTAATTTAAAGAATGTTTAGTACATGGACTGGGCTCACACTAACTAGGTGTTTATTCAGCAAAAATGGTTTGCTCAGCTATACACCATGGAGAGTGAGTTCACTAAGAAATGGAGTATACCTTGGGTGGATTCAGTAGTCTCTTATCTCAACCAACGCTCGCGTGCCCAGTGGATGATGTCCCGATATTTAAGGATGCTCCAGACAAACATCTGGAGTCTTTATTCAAGGCCTTGATGCCTTGGTCTACCTTTATGGGTCCCAGTCCCTGAAGACCGCTCTGGGATATGCCCACTGTGATTCATAATTTCGTTCTGCTCAAAAATGTTGGTTGTCGGATTGCATCATCTGGAACTATAGATAAAGTTAGAATAAAAGGCATTGAGGGAGTGTCTGCTGGAACATCATAAAATATTTCAACACCCCTTCAGCATACCCCTCAGACCATTTGATTGGTTACGTTATTTCTGTAAATGCCCTCTTTATGGAAAGCTGAAGCTTTCATTCACTATTGACTCAGTGAAAGGGTGCTAACAGTCATTCGTGAGTGCTTGTGACTGTATCCTATCAGACTGGATTTAATATGCAAATTAATTAGACTGCACAAGACCAAAGACCAGGTGAACTGTTTTTGCTTTTAATCCCATTTTTTTTTTTTTTTTTTTTACTATTTCCAATTTTCTGTTTTGTAATATCATCTGTAAATAATGTCTTGCACCTTTTTTATTTTCTTCTATTAAAAACAATATTTAAAAATCATTAAGCTGAATCTTCTAACCTGAAATTACAGCGTCTATTGCCTCTTTGAGGAAAGATAACATGTTTTATACTCTTGTTACATTCCTTGCTGGTCATGGCAGTGAGTCACATCTTCTTTAAGGTCAAAATTGCTACAGCAGATGCTGTTAACCTGTGTTTCTGTTAAAGCATGTGGTGGTGGCTACCATTGCAGAGTTAACCTTTTCTTTCCCCAGGAGAAGGGTTAACTGCGAAGTTACCCTTCCCAAGAGACATCCACTGTCAGTGGGCTGGCTCCTAGATTGTTCTATTGTGAATTGGAAAATTTCTGTGCAGGGTGAGGCTGAGAGTGTAGTACATCACAGTACAGTTTCTTTTAACTAATAATTTAAAACAGAAAAAAAGTAGTAAAGAACAATACAGTGCCTTGAAAAAGGTATTCATACCCCTTGAAATTTTATACATTTTGCCATGTTACAACCAAAAACATAAATGTATTTTATTGGGATTTTATGTGATAGACCAACACAAAGTGGGACATAATTGTGAAGTGGAAGGAACATGATAAATGGTTTTCAAAATTATTTACAAATAAATATCTGAAAAGTGTGGCTCGCATTTGTATTCATCCCCCCTTACTCTGATACCCCTAACTAAAATCTAGTGGAACCAATTGCCTTCAGAAGTCACCTAATTAGTAGAGTCTACCTGTGTGTAATTTAATCTCAATATAAATATAAATACAGCTGTTCTGTGAAGCCTCAGAGGTTTGTTAGAGAACATTAGTGAACAAACGGCATCATGAAGGCCAAGGAACACACCAGACAGGTCAGGGATAAAGTTGTGGAGACGTTTAAAGCAGAGTTAGGTTATAAAAATATATCGCAAACTTTGAGCATCTCACGGAGCACTGCTCAATCCATCATCCGAAAATGGAAAGGGTATGGTACAACTGCAAACCTACCAAGACATGGCCGTCCACCTAAACTGACAGGCCGGGCAAAGAGAACATTAATCAGAGAAGTAGCCAAGAGTGGATGTATTTTCACTTTAATGGTAGAGTTTTGATGGGAAAGAGTGAGGTGTACAGCCTGTGACAAATTTTGCTTGCTTAAACTATGTTGATTTTCTAATATAAGATGCAGGTAAGTTAGAAAACAAGGATTTGTGCAAAGAACATTTGATTGCAGATCATTTTAGATAATAAATAAATGACCAAGAATGTAAAGGTAATTTAGATGCTCTTACTTGACTCTTTCACCCTTTCCTACTTATATGACTATGGTATGTTTGTCTTTCTGTTGCAGGAAGTAACACAAACATTTCTGGAAAATTTGCACTCCTACCATGAGAATTACATTCCAGTGTTAAGATGCCTCCATCATTTTACATGTATCCTCCCCAAATATCCCTTGGGAAAGCAGGTGAGTATCAATGTGTTCCAATGTACTGTATACTTCTATTAGGACACGCACGTACACAGGGGCTTTGACGGCACCCAAGACTCAGTAAGCCTTCGGCTGTACATTGTGGCTGCAGCTGACTTCTTGTTATGTTGCCTTTAATATTCAGTAAAGTGTAAGCAGACAATTAGGAACTGCATGGAACCCAGCTGTTTATTCATTTAAACATTGTTTTTATTTTTTTAAATTAGCATATCAGTCTGTTTTTGTGCTAGCCTCTTGTAGTTTTCTGCACATTAGTATTCAAATCAGGAGTGGATGATTGATCATGGTAAGTCAGTAAGACTTTATTGCACTGCACACTGCTGAAATCTAAGATTAGGTTTGCTAATTAAAGTGGTCAAAGGGTATTTCATTATTTTAAGATTATTTACCATCAAGTCATCCTTAACCAAGCTAGCTATATTGCTTTGCCTACAGGCGATGAAATGGTCAGGATCTGACTATGTTGTCTGGCAGGGTTTTCTAAGTTATAAAATTGACAGAATATAACTGCATTTGTTTTGGAAGGTAAAACTGTTCAAATGTATGTAGTTCACCTGTGTAGTTGGCTGTTTTCCTAAATTTACACTTTAAACTGCAGAAATAGTGTGATGCATGTGTACTTAGCTGTTTTCTAACTTTTACACTTTAAACTTCCTAAACTGTTTGTGTGTGGTTCTTTATGTTAAAATTCCAAGTTATTAGAACGTTTTCACTTGCTTGGCATTGTATTTGGCAAGGAAAATAAATACCTGCATATATTATAGATGCATTGCTCATTTAATGTGCTAACCTCTTAAAGTACCTTATAGGAAGTCCACTTTTGCTAAGCATATATAAAGGTCTTTTATTAAATCACCTGTGTACATGCTTCCCAAATATTTTGAGAAAAACCTGTTAATTTTCTAAAAATGAAAGACAAAGGGAAATTGTGTTAGCTATCAAAAATAAAAACTGGTTTGTATTCCTGAGTTTTGATTGGACCTTGAGAAATATGCCTAATTTCTTTAATAATTATGTCCTGGAGATAAATGTGTCTCAAATTTGTAAGAGGTAAGCATCACTTACTGTACATGTGTTTTACAGTGATTGTTAGCTGTTCTTGAGTCACAATTCTCAGAGTAGCCAGAAGATGGCACTAACAATAGAAACAGACAACAGGCATCTTTCAGTTTCACCAAATGCTATATGATATGCTTTAACATACTGTATATAGGCTGTGAATACCATACAGTTTGTGAGCGGCAAATATTAGAGGGGGGATTTTTTTTTTTTTTAATTGTCCTTTTTTTCATAGCATTACATTAAACCTGTTTGAACGGGGAAAGCATTAATCAACATATTATTGTTAACTAGGTTACAAATATATATACTAGCTCTCTATCCAGATTTTAAAAGATTTTGGAAGATATTATTTGCAAGTACTCTAAACAACTATTTGCCGACATAGAGTATTCTTGTTGCGCTTTTGGCAATGTAGCTTGATACTGTAGTAATTTCATTGAGACAATAGAAAAGTACTGGGACCACTCAAAAAGGATAATATTGCAAAGGAGTGTTTGAAAAAGAATAATCTTTTTTTTTCTTTTTGGACTCTCTTTTTGTGAAAGTTTCCCTTTTTAGTCTTTTTGGCAATGTGGTTAGACCGACATCTAAATAGTAATAACGCATTGCAATATTATAAGTTTCAGCCTGCTTTAAACTAAGTGGTAATGTTATATGGAAATTGCACAGTGCCTGCCTTCTGCATCTAAACCCCAGGATAACGCTTAGTTGTGCATTGGGCATACATGCGCCATGGTGAGGCGATGGTAATGACACAATAGAAATTGCTTAATGCCTGTCTTCTTTACCTAAACCACAAGTTGGTGCTTTGCTCTGCATGCTCGTGCACCATTTCACGGTGTCATGGCGCAAAAGCTCGATGACATTGTGGCATGCGTGTGCATGATGATGTCAGCGCATGGCTAGTGTGGTGGCCATTGCAATGGACGATGTTATAAATAGCTCTAATTGAGCGAAAAATACTGAGTTAATTTATTTTGCACCTTTTTTAATTTGTTTGAGGGACACACATGGCTTAGTAGGATGGTGACTGATCACCGAAATATCTCCTCTGGTTACCGAAATATCTCCTCTGTTAGTGTCGGAGACAGCAGCAGCTCACTAGTCCCTTTGTTTTGATTGTTTGGGTCTAGCCAATTAGTGGCATAAATGCAACAACTATGGCCAAAGTGACTAATGAGGCCAAATTGTTTGAATATATACTACAGGGTGATGATTATATTCCTTAAAGCCTAGCAGTATTTTTATGTGAGGCCCTTATCTTGTCATGTGGTGGTTATTTGATCTACCATAGAGGCGAGTCATCATATATTCTTTTTTGTCATTTATGCGGTTCTGGCTGAATTTTTCTTTCTATAGTGCCACATATTTTTCAAATAGGAGTAATAAGGATATACAGTATATTTCATCATCTTCTAGTTAATTTCTTGTGGGTTATGAGTGAAAATAATCCCCATCCTAAAAGTATTTAACCACTTGCCCTCTAGAAGATTTACCCCCCTTAATGACCAGGCCTTTTTTTGCTATTCAGCGCTGCACTATTTCAACTGGTAATTGTGCAGTCAAGCAATGCTGTACCCAAACGAAATTTATGTCCTTTTTTTCACACAAATAGAGCTTTCTTTTGGTGGTATTTGATCATCCGTGCACCTTTTATTTTTTTGCGCTATAAACAAAAAAAGACCGAAAATTTTAAAAAAAAAACCTACCGTATTTTTTGCTCCATAAGACGCACCTGACCATAAGACGCACCTAGGTTTTAGAGGTGAAAAACAAGAAAAAAAATATTCTGAACCAATGGACTGCAGACACAGTACAGGGGATGACCAGAGACTGCAGACATAGTACAGGAGATGACCAGAGACTGCGGACATAGTACAGGAGATGACCAGAGACTGCGGACATAGTACAGGAGATGACCAGAGACTGCGGACACAGTGCAGGAGATGACCAGAGACTGCGGACACAGTGCAGGAGATGACCAGAGACTGCGGACACAGTGCAGGAGATGACCAGAGACTGCGGACACAGTGCAGGAGATGACCAGAGACTGCGGACACAGTACAGGGGATGACCAGAGACTGCGGACACAGTACAGGAGATGACCAGAGACTGCGGACACAGTGCAGGGGATGACCAGAGACTGCGGACACAGTGCAGGGGGATGACCAGAGACTGCGGACACAGTACAGGGGATGACCAAGAGACTGCGGACACAGTACAGGGGATGACCAAGAGACTGCGGACACAGTACAGGAGATGACCAGAGACTGCGGACAGTGCAGGGAATGACCAGAGACTGTGGACAGTGCAGGGAATGACCAGAGACTGCGGACAGTGCAGGGAATGACCAGAGACTGCGGACAGTGCAGGGAATGACCAGAGACTGCGGACAGTGCAGTGGATGACCAGAGACTGCGGACAGTGCAGGGGATGACCAGAGACTGCGGACAGTGCAGGGAATGACCAGAGACTACGGACAGTGCAGGGAATGACCAGAGACTGCGGACAGTGCAGGGAATGACCAGAGACTGCTGACCTTTGGGGGGAGGGAGGGGGAGCGGGTACCTCAATTTGACAGGTACCCGCTCCCACTTCCGCGGAGTTTCCTTCCCTCTTCTTCCCGGGCCGGCTTCTGTGACAGCCGGGTGCCCACTGCGCATGTGCGAGAAGCGCTGCGCTTTGTGAATGGCCCGGCGCCTTCTGGGACCTTTCATGTGTCCCAGAAGACACGGGATCATTCACAAAGCGCAGCACATGCGCAGTGGGCACCTGGCTGTCAGAGAAGCCAGCGCGGGAAGACTGTGCAGCGCTGGAGCGAGGAACAGGTAAGGCCCTGCAGGAGAGAACAGCTGAGCAGCCGGCCCGGTATTCTGACATGGTGGCCGCAAAAATACCGGACCGGCCGCTTTATATTCGCTCCATAAGACCCACTGACATTTCCCCCCTTTTTTGGGGGGGAAAAAAGTGCGTCTTATGGAGCGAAAAATACGGTATATTTTTTTTACTTTCGGCTATAAAAAATATATAGTAAACTCTGTCATAAATTTGGGCAAAAATATATTCTGCTACATGTCTTTGGTAAAAAAAAAATATCAATAAGTGTATATTGATTGCTTTGTGTGTAAGTTATAGCGTCTACAAACTATGGTATAGCTCAGCAATGGGCAAACTACGGCCTGCGGGCCGTATACGGCCCGGCGGACCTTTTAATCCGGCCCGCGCAGCTAGGCTCCCGCTAGGCTCCTCTCACAGTCCGCCCTGAAGACCGGTGTAGCATGAAAATCTGTCTCCTATGAGGATCTGTCCCCTCGAATTACTATATGGGGGATGAATTACTATATGGGGAATGAATTACTATATGGGGGATGAATTACTATATGGGGGATGAATTACTATGGGGGGGAGATGAATTACTATAGGGGGGATGAATTACTATAGGGGGGATGAATTACTATAGGGGGGATGAATTACTATATGGGGGATGAATTACTATATGGGGGATGAATTACTATGGGGGATTAATTACTATGCTTACTATGGGGGAATATTACTATACTTACTATGGATGACACATACACATCATTCATCTACTCTTGGTCCGGCCCCCGGGTCCAATATATGAACCCATTGCGGCCCTCAAGTCAAAAAGTTTGCCCACCCCTGGTATAGCTAATGGAATTTACACAGCTTTTTCTTTCTGATTGCTTATCACATTTCTTGAGGTGCTAAAATACCAGGGTAGTACAAACACCCCCAAATGACCCCTTTTTGGAAAGTAGACACCCTAAGCTATCTGCTGAGAGGCATATTGAGTCCATGGAAGATTTATTTTTTTTCCACAAGTTTTTGGAAAATTACAAAAACATTTTTGTTTTTTTACACAAAGTTAGCACTTAAATGATATATTGCTC